AAGCTGAATACCACTGGAGTTGAGCCACAGTCTCTTTGCATCAATGGGCTAAAATGGTTTTGGTATCGGATCGGGGGGTCTCTCAGGATTAGCATAGGCAKTATAGGCAAATGCTGAGGGTGCYGTCCATCTAGGGGGCGCCACAAATTTGGATTTTTAATAACTTTTAGAATATAGTTGACTTAGACTGTAGAATATTCACTGGTTATTCAGTTTTAGGAAGGTAACGCTCTGCCATGTGAAAACGCTTTGATCCCCCTGGAGCTGGACAYCTGAGTTTCCTTAGTTGACCTGTTGCCTCCAACCAGTAATAAACAAATAAGATGGATCTACATCTGTTTCTATCCAAAACCACTGCTGAGCAGTAGATTTCTCTGCTCTGACRGCTCACAAACAGAACTCAAACACCTCTAASCAACTTTTTAAAAAAGAAAAACACGTTCRCTATCTGAGCACACCCCAATATCAAGGGTTTTGCCTAAATTYTCAGCCAACTTCCTTGATTTCCTCTCTTCGTCACCTCTCGAAACCATAAGTTGTGAAGTAAAAACTCTGCAATCAACACCTGTGTTTGACAAATCGACACTTCCGCTGAGAGAACAGTAACAGTTTCTCATCCAGCTGAGAAAGTCCTGCTGCGYCGTCGCCAAATATTAGAAAACATGGCTAGTTTTCATGCCAACATCCTCAGATGTTTCAAATAACACTTTACCACAGTGAGATCAAACCGAGTGCGTGCGGAAGGCAAGTTATTTGGAATTTGYAAAACTGAAAATGCATTCAGCTGATCAGTCAGAACAGCTTTTATATGAACTGTAAACTACCAAATAACTTCATTATTAAAGAATAACCCTCCTGACGAGACTATTATTAACCAGTGTTACTAAAGGGAGGACTGCACTTTGGAAGACAGAATCAAAAAGAAYGTGTGTCAACTGTTTTATGTGGACAAAGATGCATTTTAGACTCAAACCGTACACAGCAGATTCCAGTCTATCATTGTGCATGAATGAACATTTCCCACTGTGTGAGCATCTTCAARCAGAGTTTTACTGTGAACATGAACTTTCTATGGAAGAAAATTCAGCTGATTTTAGCCTCACGCATACTCATTAACTGCACTACACGGTGCCCCACTCAGGTACAAAAATTGCATGAAGCCGAGTGGCAGCCACTGTCCAGAGAAAACCTCAGAAAGACTGGAAAAAAAAAACAAACAAGATTACAGGTTACATAACAACACAACTTAAAGCTAAAGGTAACAAAATGGCAGCAATGCCACAAGTGGTAATAAGGAGTTAAATTGGGACCATAAAATTAGTTCAGTTTTTTTCTTTTAAAATAATCATTTTAAACTGAAAAAAGATTTTGAAACTGAA